TAACTAAAAAACCTTTATATAGCTAAAGAATAGTAATTTATTACTCTTCTTAATATTATAAGTAAACTTCTTAAAGAGATTATAATAAATAAAATTATAACTATAATAAAGTTAAACTAACTTCTATTTAATAGTTAAATAAAGAATAAATAAAAAAGATTAATTAAGATTACTATTATTATAATTTTAAAAATAGTTAAATTAGTATAAACTTAAAGTAGTACTATATTATTATTATAGTTAGATATTATTAATACCTTTAATAATATTAATTATAACCTTTTTATTTAAATACTTTAATAATAGGGTTTTCTAGCTAAAGTATTAAGCTTAATATAATCCTTTTTAGCTAATAGGTTAGCTTAATTATAGCTTAATAGTAGTTTAATATAACCTAGATTAGTTTCTTTTAAGGTACCTTAAGAATTACTACTTTTACTAATTCTCTTTATTCTTTTTATTAGCTTATTATATACTACCTTTAAAATAGTATTAAGCCTAATAATAGTTAGGTTTATAAATAATACTAACCTATTTAATATTAAATTAAATATAAATATAATAATTTTATAATTAGAATAAAGATAAGAAATATATAAAAAGTAATTAAAAGTTAATAACTTATAATTTATTATATTAAAGTTTAATCTTATATACTTTTAATATAGTTAAGACTTAGATTTAGGCTTAATCTAGTTTAATAATATAATAGTTTATTTAAAATAAAAAACTTAACTTTTTAAAGTTTAATTAATACTAAGCTTAAAGTAAAAAAAATAACTCTAAGTAATTAAGAACTAAGTAATAAAAGTAGCCTAAACCTTAAATATAACTATTAAGAAAGCCTAAAAGTTTAAAGTTAAGAATATATAAAAGCTATACTTTTAAAGTATTAAGTTTATTATAATATTTAATCTAATTAATTAATATATATTAAAAAGAAATAAAATAATAAGCTTAATTTAGATTCTATATAACCTTTAACTATAATACTTATAACTAGTTATAAGAGTATTTAAAGCTATCTTAACTTATTATATTAAAAAAGCTTTAAAGGTTTTTTTAATTAATCTTTATTTAATAACTAGAAAATACTAAACTTTAATAAGGTAGAAAGTAAGTAAGGTAGTAGCCTAACTTTAGTATATATCTATCTAGGTAGCTAGAGTAGTCCTAGTAATAATAAAGAGGTTAAGATAATAATAGTAATATAAATAGTAATAACTATAATAATAAATAAGACTACTATTAACTAATCTATATAAAGGCCTTCTAGGTAAGTCTAAAAAGGCTTTAAAGTAAGATTAGAAAATACTTAATAAGTAATTATAAAATAGATTAATAATAAGATAGAAAATAAATAAATTAACTAAATAATACTATATTAAATAAGGTATAATTTACTTTACTTATAAACTATTATAGTTTTAATATTTAGTTTAAGTAGTTTTATTCTTATTTATATTTAAGTATATTAGTTTTATTATTATATAGATATATATAAGAAAAATTAAGCTTAATACCTTTTTTTATAAATAATATATTCTTAGTTATAAGTTAGGCTTATATTATTATAAGGAAAGGCTAAAAGATATTTACTATATCTTATTAAATTATTTAATATACTAAACTAAGTCTAAACTACTATAAAGGTAGCTTTAAAATAAGTAGGATATTCTATTAATATTAGATTACTTAAAAGATTTTATAACTATTATTAAGTAGTTATACTTATAAGGTTAATTAATATATATTTAAACCTTACCTAGCTTAATACTAAACTAAGGTTAAAATAAGTATAATATAATAGTAATATTAGTATATAGTAAGATAAAAATAAATTAAGTATATACTAGTATTAATCTAATATAAATATAGAATATAATTAATTTTTAATTTTAAAATTTAGTAAATTAGGCTATTAGGCTATTCTTACTTTAATATAGCTTAAACTTAATACTAGCCTAATTTTAGCCTTTTTCTAGGTATAAATTTTAAAAAATAGGAATAGCTTAGATTAAGCTTAAAGCTATCTTAACTTTACTACTTTTAGTAGGCTAAAAATATATAGAAAAATAAAAATAATTTTAAATAGGTATAGCCTAAGCTAGGCTTAATACTACCTCTCTTTACCTTATCCTTTTACTTCTTCTTTTCCTTCTTTTTATTCCCTTCTTTCTTAGTTAAGATAGCTAAGTTTAGGCCTTTATCTAGCCTAGGCTTAACTATAGTTACCCCTTAAGCCTTTAAGGTAGCTATAATAACCTAAAGTAAGCTAGCTAAGGTATATTATTATTAAACTAGCTAATAAGCTATTTTAGTTTTAACCTAATTTAAGTATATTAGTATTTTAATATTAATATAAATAATTATAATTAAAGTTAGGTTATAATTAATAAAAGCTAATATAATTATAATTTAAATTAAATTAGTTATACTTTAAATATAATAAGTATTATCTTTAATAATTATATTATTAGTTTAATTATAAGTATAATAAATAACTATTATTAAATAATTAAATTTAATATTATTTTAACTTAAAATCTTATTATTCTTAATATAAGCTAAAAGCTACTTTTAAATAGTAATAATTATAAACTTAATATTATTAATAAGTTATTAATAAATTAATTAAGGTTAAATTTAATTAAATATTAAATTAGAATTAAAAAGATTTATTATTATATAAATTTTATTATTTTTTATATACTTAATATATATAAATATATTAAGATTTAAAACTAGATTAGAATAAAGGTTATTTTAATATAATACTAAAATACTTATTAGTCTATTTAAAGTAGATAATAATATTAATTTTACCTATATATTTAAGGTACTAGTTATAAAAGACTAGTATTAGCTTAGTTATAATAATAACCTAATATAAGTATTTAGTAGGATAGTAAGAAGATAAGAAGGTAGTAAAGAAAGGTAGCTAGCTAAATTAGTATTAAAATAAGAATAAATAATAAATAGATAAAAGTTACTTATATTATTAATAATAGTAATAATATTAAACTAATAAGGTTAAGAATAGAATAGGGTTAAGAATATATTAAAGATAAGGTAACTTATTATAATAGTAGTAATAATAATTAAAATTTTATTTTATTTTAATAAAAGGTTAATAATATTAAAAAAGAATTAAAAGTAGCTTAAAGAGGTATATAAAAGTAAGTAAAAAAGAAGAATATATAAATAAAATAATAATAATAAGAAAAAACTAATAAGAAAAAGAGTTAATATAGTTTAATAGTTAAAATAAAAATAGTTTAGTTTAGGTAGGGGTAAAAGTAATAATAAAGAGGTAGTATATATATTAAAGGTAAAGGAAATATATAATTATATATAGTTAAAAAAGAAAAAAAAAGAATAAAAATTAAAGAATTTAAGGCTTTTTAAATATTATAATAAATAAGCTAATTAACTAAATAATTAACTAAAAATAATAATAATTAAATATATATAGTTATAATACTTTTCTTACTTAATATAGTAAATATAAAGAATTATATATAAATCTATATTAAGTTAAAAGTTTAAAAAGGGTATAGAAATATAAATAAAGTAATTATAAAGTAAAAAGTAAAAATAAATATAAAAGTATATAAAAGTAAAAAAGTAATAAGGCTATTTTAATTAGTCTTAAGTTAAGTAAAGCCTTATAAGAAATAAGGTTTTTATTTATTTAGTATAGATAATATAGAAAATAAACTATAAAAGCTAAAAAAAAGAATAATAAAGGTAGATATTATAGCCTTTTATAGCTATTATTATATTTACTTAAACTTTAAAGTATTTAAGAATTAAGATTTAAAAAGGACCTTAACTATATATAATACCTAGCCTAGGCTAGGATAAAACTATAGGGTAAGGAGGTTAAAGGGGTTAAATAGGGAATAAGTAGGTTTATTAGCCTATTAAGTTTTATATATTTATACCTATTATTATCTTTTATTAAGATAAGGAGTATATTACTCTTTATTAGGAATTACTTTAAGATTATACTAAATCTATACTAAAGCTAGGGTTTTTCCTTTAAGTACTCTAGTTTTTTCCCTATCTTATAAGCTATAAAGGTACTAAATAGACTAGCTAGTCTAATTAGTATAATATAATAATAATAATAATACTTTATATATTAATAATTAATATTAATAATAAATTAAGAATATTAAAGTATTTATTTATTAAATTTACTAATTAGACTTTATAGTTTTTTTAATATCTTAATAAACTTATTAAAGTTGGAAAAACTATAATAATAAATTTATTATAATAATAGCTTATTATATTAAATATAAATTTAAGATTATTTAAATAAAAACTAACTTTTTTAGTATATTAAGATAATAGTAAAGTAAGTTAATAAATATAGTAAGTAATAGCTATTTATTATAATATTAGTTTATAGACTAAGGTATTTATAAACTTAGTAATAAGGGTAGTAGTTTTAATAAAGTTAAAAAACTTATAATAAAGAGTATTAATATTAGAATATTCTCTTTTTTAACTTATATAAGGATTAGTATATTTAAAGCTTTATTAGTATTACTATATAGCTATTAGAACCTATAAGCCTATTAGGCTTATACTTAGTATAGAATACTATAATAAAGATTTTAATATTACTATCTTAAAAGAAAAGTAGTATAGTAATTAGTATATACCTTTTAGCTTTTATCTTAGCTTACTTTAGGGTTATATTATCTATATTTTCCCTTATATATTAGTTATAAACTAGATACTACTTAATATTTAAGTAAAAATTATTTAAAGTATTTTTAGCTAAATTTAAACTAGTAATCTATATATTAATATATATAGAACTCTATAATATAGAACTATTATATTATAAAGACTAATTATATATATAGATAATTAAGATATTTTTATTTTAAGAAGAAAAAATAGTTTTATTACTTCTTACTAAGAATTACTTTAGGATTATAATAAACCTATATTTTTCTCTTGATTACCTAGTTCTTAAGTCTCTACTGCCTAAACGCAACAAATCGGACCTCAACACTGGTCCGTGCTGGTCCTGTTGAGCTTGGATTCTGGACAGCGGCGTGGAAACCCACTAGACTTTGTTAATAACAACACTTTCGCGACGTTATCCGATCACAAACCTGCTCGTTTGCCCGTGCTATCCACATTTCGGAATAGAATAAGGTCATTCGGTCGTTGATTCTCTACATAATACCAGCGCTGTTGTTCATTTGGATATAGGAGCTGATTTTCGGTGACGCGGTCCACATGTAGAACGTCAGCGTGGACAATGTCCGATGGCTGGATGGTAGAGTAGTCGCACAGCGCTAGCGGCCAGTCATCGTTGGGTCCGACTAATGGCTTCCAGATACTGTGGGTGTTAATGGAAAAAACAATGTGAAGCGAGAGAAGAACATACTTGATCATATCATATTCCTTATCAAGAAAGTGTTCCTCTTGTCCCGGAAAAGATCCTTTAAGTTGCTGGACAGCACCTCCCCGTGTGTAGTCAGTATGGGCAACCGCAGCAGGCTGTTCGTGTTTGACAACCGTGGCTTTCTCCGTGGGATAATCCGGATGCCTTTTTCGAACCTGCGTGATTGGTTAATGATAGGATCACCGGTAGTGACGATCAATTTACCACGAAATCGAGGGCCTCAAGCCTTGTATATTCTGGAAAATGCTTGTGGACGATCTGCTCAAGTTCTGCCTGATACTGCAGCTCCACGTCCTGCGGCCTAGCAAGTGCATCTTCCAGTGTCAAGCTCGTGTCCTCATTCAGGATGCAGAAACCAGATACATCCATGTCAAAAGCACTCCGGCTGCTCACTGGCATCACCTGGACGTCGCAATGTGTGGTGATGATGTTTGATCGCTGCGCACCGTTCTGTTCGTCGACGATGAAGTCCGCAGAGTAAGGCTTCTCCACGTTGTACACATCACTTCGAGCGAGATATCTTATCTTTGTCTGAAGCATATTTTTGTGGTAGGCAAGGGACAAGTTGGGTGACGATTGCTCCTTAGGGCGTGATCATGAGACTAAGACTCAGTCCCTGGGACTGCTCTTTAGGTACTTCGATAGGGTGGATATAGGGCCTATGTACTGTACTTAGGTTGCTTCCACAAAATCCGCCCAACCATCCCGCATGCTACTTTAATAGGCAGCAGATGACGCTCCGCTTACAAAAGACCCTCGGAATTTGCCCTCCAACGAGATCGGAGATCGGAGGCCCACTGGTTTCAACATTACGGCCACTAGTAACTCGAACCGAACGGACAATAATCCTCACGTCCACTGATTAGTCAGTCACGTCTCAAACTGTTCAAAGTTGCTTCTGACTGATAGTCAAATAATCGGTATTAACAATGGGGAACTCTGCTCCCGTAATTTAATGTTATTATTGCATCCACGAAAGAAAAAATAATCTAGCCTCGCAGCGGTACCACTGCTAGAATTGCTGCCGTCAGTTGCAGAATTGCGAGGATGATCGACAGGCCCCCGACTACTAGTACTGCCCAGAAAGTGTACCACTGAAGGGGGTTTCTTCGATCCCTCCACAAATCACGCAACCTGCTGGGCTGTTGCCTCAGATTGAACTCCTGGATGGCGGCTAAGCGCGAGCCCAGCATGGGAAAGTCGTCTTGCGAGCTATAAGAATCGTCCTCTTGCAATGTATTGTCAAGACCGCGGCATGAAGCCGGCCAAAACGAGTCGGGGAGTTTTTTGACCACCTCTTTGCGCGGGTTTGTGCATAAACAGTCCAACAACTGGTCGTAGTCATAACTGTCTTTAATCGTCTGCAATTCCGTTTTCCCTAGCTTCCTAGCAGCACGGGTCTGGCCGAAGAGTAGACGGTAGGACATAAGGACTTCTGAGCCGAGTTGCCGACTGCTTTCAAGCTCTCTGACAATCTCATCGCCGGTCGAGAACAGGGTTCGCACCAGCCTGCGGTCACATCAGTCGAGGTACCTCGCTATTGGGGGTTTGAGACGAAACTTACTCTTCAAATAGGATACCCCTGTCGCTGGGAATGGTTGAGAGGGCGCAAAAGCTGGGAAATTGAAAAACGGAGAGGGTTCGTGTCCTCGAATCAAAGTTCAAGTGACTGCTCAGGTTATCAACCCATTTGAGCCTTACTTTCCCGATGGTTCGTAGGGAGTGGTAGTTGATTGTTGACACGAAGAGAATACAGGGTTCACCTGTTACTGACGTCCTTTGAAGCTGTCGACTGGTAAGAGTCTTGCGGAAATTCCGAAAAATCACTGGAATGGGCCGGCGAACGAAGTCCATTTTCAACCCTTGATGGCGGGCGGACAGCTGATGGACCGAAAGGCAGGGGTTGGCAGATTGGCGCCGCGTGACCTGAGGCTGAAGGATCATGCTGCCCCAGCAGATGATGGCAAAAACGACAATCATGCATTCGTCATGTGCTGCTGGTGTTATTAAGCCATCCTCTTCTGCCACCGCTTCCGAGTCTGAACCAATGGAGATCTTGGCCAACCGCCAGACATCTTGTATGCTGTACCCCTCCTCATCGACCTCCACAACTGCGCGACAAACAGCTTCGAATAGAGGCCAGCAGTGTGACGGGGACTTCGGGCGCGGAAGTCCAAATGCAAGCCAGACACTTTCGTATTGCTCTGTAAGAAGCGGCTGAAAACAACCTTCAAGGTAGCGGCACCAGGAGGCTATCGTGGGTAGTCCTCTAACTTGGCACATCTCTTGGTGGGTAAACCCAAAAAGAGCCTGCAAGGCCACAATCCGAGGCGAGTTATCTTGTTCCAGTGTGGCTTTCGAACTGCGGCGTCGCTCTTGTTGCCCCTCGACATCGATGGGGAGAGTCTTTGGGGCTTGAGGAGCTTGCGGACCGCACATTCTGCCCGATATCCGCGGAAGAGTTGCGAATACACAAAATTGGAGCCGGGACTGTCGATTTGGTTACGCGCGGATTCAAACTTCCTTAGAGAATAAGGCCGTTTTTTTCTTTCAGAAAGAGGGAGGGGGCCAGCTCACATCGAAACTCTCGCACGCCTCGGTACTCCCCGATCACGGTTCCCAGGACCCAAACGAGGCTGCGCTGTAACAACCCATGCTCATTTTCGCTTGAAGAAAATTGACAGTGCATGATATAGGGGGCTAATTCTAAATCGGGTATTATTTTAGGCATTCATGCATGCAGAAAGGACAACTGGTCACTAGACATATATCATATATCATCCACGAGCAACTACTTGCGGCAGTTGACATGTCCATCAAACAATTGACGGGAATATCTATACATTGTCTAGTTTCTAGTCACTTTTTTCCTAGTTTCCAACCGTATAAATATTGAGATTGGTAAGATTGTAATGACTGCTTGTTACTATGGTCGGGTGGTGAAGGGCGCTGTTTTGTCTTCCCGTCGCATCGCCAAATAGTGAACCCTCCAGAGGCCTGCCGAAGTATTATCAGAACAACTATGCTGAACGGTAGGATTTTTGACACGTCATCTTCGTTGTCTCACTCATCAGTATACTCTAGACAGCTGAAAGATAATCAGGCAGCGGCGGTCCTTTTGTTCCGACGCAGGCTACCGCCCCCCCTCCCCTCCCCCAAACGCCACTTTCCCCTTTCTTTATCATACCTCGTGGTCGCTATTCAGTCAGAGTTTCCTTCTCCCACAATTCACATTCGCTGTTAGCCTACAATCGATCAAAGAACCTCAAAGGTATCATCGCTCGCCCAAAAAAGTGAAGTGAGCATTTGGCTAACATTTACAGCAAACATTACGTCAAGTCTACTTGAGAACGCAACCGCCAGAATGCTTCCAGCTGCCACGAATCCCTCCCAGCCCTGGAAAGCCTGGTACCAGGCTAATCCTGCCTACAACCCGCTGGCCAACGCAGTCTTGCTGTCTGGTGATTCTCAGGGGGCTTTGCCCCAGAGAGCTCGCCAGATTGATCTATCGAAGCCCAAAGAGCGACAGATTGGCCAGGCCAAGGATCAAGCCGCTTGAACCCGCAAATGGTAGTCTCTGCCGAAGCACCACTTCACGTATAAGGTCCAGTAGCGGAGGAACGGGGAGTGGCAAGTGGCCGGCGAGAACATCGTCATGAGTTTGGTAGTACCGCGTTGGGAGAGGAATTTGAAGGAAACGAGAGTTTAGCCACTAGTACTAGCTCATGATCAATTTGCCGATTATCTCCATCTTTAATTGTACCATCATCTCCACCAAATGAAAACCAAGTCGTCGTACGTCTTCTCCAGATCGGTATGCTTCGCCTCGGGAGAACGGGAGAGAAGAAGTCGAGTAGCGTCTTCACGCAGCCTGCCCGACTCTTCTCCGCCACCCGGTTCTTTCGCGACCGCTTCAGATAGCTTGAAAAGCGATCTGGCATGTTCCACTGGCATGCTAGCCATATGCCGCTCGGTGATACAGGAAGCCTCCCGCAAGTGCTTTCTGTTTTAGGATTAAGCATCAGCCACAAGCACGAAGGCGATGGTAAGTAAAATGTGGACGTACATGGCAGTTTCCACTTTGCCTTGATCAAGAGCCGCGCATCCAATTCGGTACACGCATGCGCCGCAAAAGGGATCAGAGAGCAGATTATTTCCAGAAATCCACTTGTCGTAAGCCTCTGTGAAATGTCTCTCCGCGGATATGAAATCGCCATCCGATCGATTCACTGTGCCCAGAGAGTAGTTGGTACTGCACAGGAGTTAGATGCCAGCTGATACGTAACGCACTGGAGCTCTTACTAGGCTGCCATGGCCCAGTTGTACGGCTTCGTAGCCTCGAGTTGACTGAGCCCTTGCACCAAAACAGATCGTGACTGCTCATTTTGCCCTGCCCATATCAGGTTGGTGCCCATTCCCCACTTTAGAATTGCTGGCCATTCCGTCTTGTCTTCACTATTATCTTTCGCCCAATCAAGCCAATGGTCTCGCGCCGTCTCCTGGAAGCGCACCGCTTCGATAAAGTTGTTTGTGGAGGCAAGCCCGTCAGCGAGGTTCTCGGCACACCATGCCTCTTCGCGGAGATTGCGTGGCTGATCCATTGCAAACATTTTGTATGAACGCTGAAGGTATGGGATTCCTTCGTCGGCCCTGCCTACTCGAACCAAAGCCTGACCTCTATGAGACGCGAGCTCGCCCTCAAGATCGACATGAATACTTAATGGTTGGGGCGGAATTGTCGCCGCAACCATGCTATTGATCTCCAAAAGATCGAGAAGATCATTGTAATTGTTGGTTTCGATGAGAAAGCTGCAAGATAAATTAGTTCTTTCACATGCCATGTGCGACGCTGGGCTTACCGTTGGCATGCGTTATTAAGGCTGCAGTATTCCATCAGAGCTGAAAACTTGGAGTTGGACTTTTTCTCTTCGCGGAAACAATCTCTCAAGCTGAGCACGTGTGGGAGATACAGGGAGCATGCTTGCCATGAGTGGTACAATTGCGCGAACTCGGCATCCTTTCGTGGAAAGGCAGCAGATACCAATAGTGTGGCATCATTGAAGCTCCGTTGACGATCTTCGTAGCTCATGAAATGTCTGAAAGATGCTTGGACAAGTCTGTGAATTGAGAATGCCCTTTTCTCTTTGTTGCGTTTGACTAAAGCAAGCGTCATTAGAGTCTCTATCTCATCTGAGAAATCGAAACTGTCTTTGCAGAATGAAAGGGAATCGGGGCAGTTGCTTGTATCCTTGGGTTCAAAGAGAGCTTGAGGAATGCTGTCTGGGGTGAGGAAGGCCAGTACCCCCAGAATGGCGCGACTTCTTTCATTCAGATTTCGAAACGACATGTCCCAGAGAGCATTGATTGAGTTGTTGCCAAAAATACCGTGGACTTTCTGTGGCTGCCTCTTATATAATTCGACAAACTCTTTGATCGACCAGGAGCGACGATGTATAAGCCCTGCCATAAGGGATATAGCGAGGGCATGCCCACTTAAGCTCCGAGCCAACTCCTGTGCACTATGAGCTTCGTCCTCGGTCAGTTGGTGACCAATATCGGTCGAGAGCAAATGGAGCAAGAATTGAGAGCCAGTATCGGTGTCCCATTCTTTGATTTCGAGCCCGCCATCACAGGGATAGAACGCCAGGCTATGATTGCGAGTTGTAATGACAGCTTGGCCACGAGAAGCCGCCGGCCAGTATCTCATTAGCAGATCGACATCTTCGACGTTGTCAAACACCAAGAGCCATTTACATGCTACATATGCGTCAGCTTAGCACGTAAGATAAATGTGTAGTCTTACATGTGTTCTGTATCCAGTCCAACACAAGAGTCCTGTTTAGATCATCGTCTTTGGGGTTGGCGCCTGGCAGCTTCAGTCGCATGGCGATGTCCGTGAAGCTCTGACGAATTGTGGCCGTCTTCTCACCCGATATCCATAACATGGCATCCAGCTCCTCACTGCGAATCCTGCTTTCAGCGTACCGAAGAGCAACAGAGCTCTTCCCGATGCCGCCGATACCGTGCAAAACGAGCGAGCGGAATGGCTGGCTGACATTTTGGGCTGCGTTATCAAAGTATCTGTCTATTTTGATGATGTCATCGGTGCGGTCAAAGAAACGCGGTGTTCTTGAATTGGGATAGATGAAACAAGGAAGGCATGCAGCCTCATCCGAGCTCTGGCGGGGGGGGGGAGAGGTCGCCAGGGCTGATTGCAGCTGAGAGAGGTCATCAAGTCCCGAAAGCCTACACATCTTCTCTAAATGAGATACTGCCCCATCAATTTCAGAGCAGCAGGAGCGAAATTGTCTTTGGAGAGGCTCCCAGACGTTGCCATCTTTTGCCAGGTTAGACTGATTCGATCAGAAGATGATTAGAGCTTACCGTTTGCGAAGTAATCCACATCCTCCCGAATGAAGTTTATGGCCGCAACGAGAAAATGCAGCAACACGTTTGCGATACGAAAGCAGCTGTCCCGTATCTCTGGCAGTGTTTTTAATTCTTTGTCCCGATATTTGTAAAGGAGGTCGATATTTTGGCAGATACCCCGTAGCATGCGAGGCACCCGCGGTGCAACACCAATTTCAGAATGTGAGAGCTGTATGCCGTCAGATACGATTTGAGGGAGAAAGGGAAGGGGGAGCTACATGTATCACCAGACCAACGAGACCCCAGAAAATGGAAGTATCTGTGGGTGGCTTTGCCTGATTCGAAACGAAATCCATGAACTCGTGCAGCGTGTCAAGAGCATGAGCAAGCTCGGTAAGCTCCTGGACAGCAGCCCCGGAGAGCAACGACACTTGCATTGCGGGAAATAGCCGTTGAACGTCTTCGAAAGACTTGACGAGGGACACCCGCAGTGCGTCGTTGCGCTCCAGCGAGCTACTCAGAGAGGCAACAGACGTGCTCCATTGCTGGGAAAAGCTCTCAGCACTGGGAGAGCTTGTTAGCGTGGCAATCGCGTAGGTGGATTCTCTGAGGAGTATTTGGTCGGTCAAGTTCTACTTACGAGCTCACCGATCGCCTCATATCGGTTGAAAAAGCAAGGCGCTGGCAAGGTTAATCACTTCTCGGAGGAGGATATCGCTGGGAACTGAGAAAGCCACCCCACAGCAATCCCCCGCCTACAGGCGGGGGATTTGGGTTTTTGATGAAAGTGCCAAGAGACATAGTGGATACACCTCACCTAAGGGTATCTTAGTCCTTAGCTAAGAGGGCCTACCCTTAGTTAAGGTTACTATACTATTTTTTAGGATATACTATATACTCTTAAATAATATTAGTTTTCTAATAATAAGTTCTATATAGGTAAGTATATAGATTATTAGTTTAAATCTAGTTAAAAGTACTTTTTATTTAATTTTTCTATTAAGATATAAAAGTATAATAGCTAGAATAAATAGTATATAAAAATATTAAAATTATATATAAAGAAAGTATTTATATTTATAAAATTATATTAATTAGAAACCTATATTTAATCTTATAAAGATAAGAGTAGTTAGGGCTATCTTAATTACCTTTTTCTTAGTAATAGTATTCTTAATAATATCCTTACTAGCCTTTATAGGCTTCTTACCTTTATCTAGATAGGGCCTTTTCTTCTTTCTTTTATTCTTAATACCCTTTTTAGCTAGACCCTTTCCTTTTTTATTAATAAAGGTTCTTTTAGCCCTCTTCCTTAAGGTCTATTATATTAAAAATAGACTTATAATAGTAATATAATTAAAAGGAGTTTAAAGTAACTTAAATAACTTTAACTTATTATTATTAATAACCTTATTATAAGTAATAAGATTAAACTTATTAAAAAGTATAAAAGTATTATATTAAAACTTAAAGTAATTAATTAAAGTTATAAGTAAAAAGTATATTATATATATATTATTAATAAGTCTTTTAAAAATACTTATTAATTTACTTTAAATAGTAAATATACTTAAAAATAAATATATTTTATAAGTTAAAATTAAACTAAAAAGTATAATAAAAATAACTATATTATAAGTATATTTTTTAGTTATATTATTTATAATATAATATTAATAAATAGTTATATTATATAGTTAAATATATTCTTTATTTTTCTTTTTAAAGAAATTATTAATTATATTAAAAAACTAAGTTAAAACCTTAAGCTTAAACTAAATAACTAATTAAGCCTAAATAGTAATAATAAACTTAATAATAGAAATATAAATATAAAGATAAAAAAGCTTTTTTTTTATATATTAAGAATAGAAATTTAAATTTAAAACTATATTAATTAGCTTTTAAATAAAGAAATAAAGAAAAAAGACTTATTTTTTAGCTTATAATAAACTAACTATCTTTTATTTATAAAAAGTAAATAATTTATATAAAGAACCTATATAAGATTAATACTTATAAAAGTAAGATAATATATTCTCTTTATAGGCTTTTTTTTTAGACTTTTATTTACTTTTCTTTTTTTCTTTTTAAGCTATTAAATTAAAAAGAATAAAATAAATAATATAATCTTTATAGTCTTTATAGAATTAATAAGATTAAGAAGAGAAACCTTAAAGGTAATAATATAATATTAAAAGTTATAAGTAAATTAAAAAAAAGATAAAAAGTTAATAAAAAAGTAAAAAAGAAAAAAGTAAAAATAAAAAGTAAAATAAAAGTTAATAAAGACTTATAAAAAAGACTAAACTATTTAAAATAAACTAAGAAAACTAAAAAGTAGTTTAATAAGCTATAATAAAGTAAAGCTAATTAAAAAAAAAAAAAATTTAAATATACTAATTAAGCTAATTTTTTACTTTTCTAATACCTTTATAAATTTAATTTAGAAGTAGAAAAAACCTAGCTAGCTAAGAGGAAAAACCTCTTCTTTCTTTAATAATATTATTATATTTAGTATATATAGAAATTAATACTTCTATACTTATTATTCCTTTAACCTTATTAGTACCTCTACTATAGTATTTATATATATTTAATATTAGTATCCTTAATAGCTAGGTAGTATAGTGGTTAGTTATACTTCCTAGTAAGCCCTACCCTCTTGTGGTTACCCTAACCTACTCTTTTTACCTTACCCTAGCCCTACCCACCCCCCCCCCCCCTCACGAGTCGCTTGTAGGCCCGAATCACCGTGCTCGACTTTTAGGAGGGAAAAGAGGGAAAAGAAAGGAAAAAACGCAAAGAAGGGAAAAGATACCTCTGGCTAGATTCGAACCAGCGCCTATATACTAACCTATATAGTACTCCTTAATAGTAAAGCTAATTAAGAATATTCTTAATAAAATATTTTAAAACTATAGCCTTAAACTTATATAAAAGCTTTAATATAGAAAAAGATATAATACCTTATAAATTCTTAACTAATAAGTAAGGTATATTAGTAAGTATAAAGAGTTTAGAAAATAAAGATAAGTATATATAGAAGTAAATAGAAATTATAATATTAATAGCTAAAAAGTTAAAAAGACTAATAAAGGGACTAAAAGCTTTTTTTTAATTAAATATAAAAGTAGGTAATAATAAATAAAATATTATAAAGTAATTATATAAAGTTAATTAATAAAGAATAATAAGATTTAATAAGGAAAAGCTATAAGTATAAATAAAGAAAATATAGAAAAGGAAAGAAAAGGTAAAAAAGGAAAAAAAAGAGAATATATTATAAAGATAAAAAAAATAATATTAATAATAAAAAAGAAAAAAAAAAAAAAAAAAAAAAGAATACCTTTTATTCTTTATTAACTATTAGTTAATAACTAATAAGGCTTTAAATTACTTATTTATATAAAATCCTATTAATTATAAATAAAATTAAAATAATAACTTATTAATTATATATTAATTAATAATAAAATAATAATAACTATTAATATTTAAATAAAATATAACTAAAATTACTATTTAGCCTTTATTAAAAGTTAATAATAATAAAAAGAATATATTTATTTATTTATTAAATCTTATTATATAATATAAGCTAATAATAATAAGAATTAAAAATAACCCCTAAAAGTATTATTATAATATTCTTTATAAGATATACTTTAAACTTATATAAATAAAGTATAGAGTATTAAGAGTAAAAAAGGATAATAAATAAAGATAAAAACTAGAAACTTTTAAAAAAGAAAAAAAGTAAAAATATTATAAAAATAAAAAGGCTATAATAGTAATTAAACTTAACTAGCTTAAAGACTTATAAGGCTAAATATAGTTCTTTTTAATATAAATAAAAATAAAAAAGAAGGAAAGAAACTAAGAAATTAAGAAGATAATAAGTTTAACTAATTTAAAGATATATAGAATTAAATATAACCCTTTTAATATAAATAAAAACCTAAAGGGAAGGAAGATAGTTAATAGGCTTAGCTAACTAAAGTAATATAGACTAAATATAGGCTAGAATATAGATAAAAACCTAGTATATAGTATTAAGAAGGGTCTTACTAAATCTTTATATACTTTAAAATAAAACTATAATAAATCCTATAAAATATAGATAAGGTTTTCCTTTAAGTACTTTAGTTTTTCCTTATTCTATAATTAGTAAAGGTACTAAATAGGTTATTTAGCCTAATTAGTATATAAAAATTATTATTATTATTATATTTAATCTTATATATTTTTAAGTTAATTAAGTATAACTATTATTATTATTTTTAGTATTTTTTAGTTTTTTATTTTTTAAGATTTCTTAGCTTTTATTTCTTTTTATTACTTTTTTTAATATTCTTATATTATATTTACTTAAAATTAAGCTATTCTTTTAAAAAAAGTATTATAAAAATACTTTTAAGATTACTTTTTTAATTATATTATTATTAATTAAGAACTTATAAGATATTATATTACTTTTTATATTAAAGCTTTTATTTAAGTCCTTTTAGATTATAGTTTTAGAATATTTTAGGATAAGTATTCTTAATTAGCTTTATTTTAGTACTACCTACTAGTTTATTTTCTAATCTTCTTATTCTATTCTAAGTAGCCTAATTACTTCTATAAGTCCTTATTAGTTTTTACTATACCTTTACCCTTCTTTCTTACTTCTTACTAACCTCTTATCTTCCTTCTAGTTTTCTTATAACTTATAATATTATACTATTATCCCTAAGGTTTCCCCTCTTTCTCTTATTAGTTCTATAAAAATTATAATATAAAAAAGGCTAGTTTTTATTTAAATAGCTTTAGGTTTATACTTAGTATAATAAAGTATTAGTATAAGAGATTTATTATTATAGTTTTTTTAATATTTATAAGTTTATTAAAGTATTAAAAGAATTATAAAATTTAATTAAAGTAATTTAATAAATAACTAAATCTTATTATATAATATAAGTTATTAAAAAAAGTATATTAATAAATATAATAATAATAATAATTTTTATATATTAATTAAGCTAAATAATTTATTTAATACTTTTATTAATTATAAAATAAAGAAAAACTAAAGTATTTAAAGGAAAACCCTATATAATAACTACTTAATATACTCTTTTTTAATCTTTTTTTATTTTAACTCTTTAAGTTTATTTATAAAGCTTTTAGGTTTTTTTTATTATTATTATAACTTTAAATATTTATTAAAAGGCTATTTAACTTTATAAAAGTATTTAAAAAGAGATATTTATTAATAAAGTCTTTTTAAGAATTTTATCTAAATTCTTAAATATAATATTAATCTTTATTAAAATAAATAATTAATATAATTTATTAAGATTTAAAAGAAACTTAATTATAGCCTTTATTTATATTAGGTTTATATTTATTTTATATTAAATTAAGTATATAACTATAAAGAAGGGAATAAAGAAGTTAATCTTTACTAGCTAAAGGTAATAATTAGACTTTATTAGGTTCTTTAAAGAATCTAATATTTTATTTTTAAGGTTTAAAAAGTATTAAACTAGGTTTAATATATTTAATTTCTTATTAAACTTTTCTTTTATAATTATTCTTTAAAAAGTAATTAATATTATTTTAAATTACTTTAAAATAAATAAGGTTTTTTTTAATATTAATAAAGTTTTTTTATAAATATTTTAAAGAAAATAATAAATATTAAAATTCTTTATTATAATATATATTAATTTCTTATTTAAAAAAAAAAAGAAATTATATTAAATTTATATTAAGTTTAAAATAAATATTAAAGAAATAAATTAATAAATTAAAAA